ACACACACACACACACACACACACACACACACACACACACACCACAAACTTGGGGGAAAAAACAAAAAAATTCTTCCTTACTCTTCATCCATGAACATTATCTGTGTAAACTCTGGCCATTTGAGCAAGCAATAGAGAAGATTGTCTTCTTTGCACTGTGACTCGTGGATCTTTATTCCCGCAACTGTTCCTCAGGGCAGGCCAATGGGGAACACAATGGGAGGGGAAGACCAGTCTATAACTGGGAAAACTGACTATTTCCGGAGAAGTATGCCCAAAGCATTATCAAGGTAAAATATGCAAAAGTGCCAACAGGAGCAAACAAAAGCCCACGCAAGAGCTGTGTAAATATTTCATGAAGCTAAGCCTTAATCACCCTCTCTCCAAATCTTTCTGGTGGTGTACACACTTCAGTTTCTTATGGTTCTGCCATGACCCAGATTCCATGAAAAAAATAAAATGAAAGCATGGACCTACAGATCTTGAACAAATGTGCTGTGAAAACGGAAGAAAGCAGACACCTTCAGAAAAGGTGGCTGCTAGCTGGGCGTCTACATAACACTCCCTCCCTCCCCACCTACTCCAGGCTTTTGCCTCCCCCCCTCCCACCTCCTCAGCTGCTCTCACATCATCCTAACCTTGAATTGTCTACATGCAACCACTGATCTCTCTGAACATCCCTTCCAAAGCCCCTGAAGTCTGACCTGCCTTCCCTCCACCCTAATTGACTTACCAGCACTAAGTCTCCTCTCTCTCCTCCCCTTTTGTCCACTGTTTAAAATCTTGCCTACGACTGCCTTTTCCATCTGTCTGGGAAGCAAGAAGATTTGCTGTGTACTGGATGAACATCTCAGACTTTTGCTCTAATCTACCCAGAGAAGGGTTTATCACCTCTAGTCGCTGCCTTGATTTACTGTGGTTCCAAAGTTCACCTCTAGACACTGAACATGCTCGACAATGACTTCCCTTTTTATCAGCCTCAGCCCAACCTTCCTCTTCTCTCCCTTCCTATCTCAGGAATAAATATGTATGCAAATGTATTAATAAATACATACACATACACGCATGTAAACCTGTGAAGAGTGCATATGACTGGATTTTTTTTAACATTACCGGAAATAATCATAGGAAAATAATAAAAATGCCAAACACATACACACGCACACACACACGCACATGCACACATAGACACACACGCCCCTCTTCACATATTTGCTGTGTGCATATCCTACTCATTAAGATTCCCAGGTCTGAAGCAGCAAGCGGTTTCTCTCTTTTACCTTTGGGAGAGAGAGCAATAACCTTGCAGAGAAATGCATCACCTGCGGGGAACAGGGCCCTGCCTGGGAAGCAGGATGGGCTGGGGACATGAGCAACAGGCAAAGAATCCACGAACAAAATGTGGGACCGAATTCCTCCTTCACCAGCCCAGGGCACGTTGCCAGCTCCTGTCCCAAGGCTGGCCACTGGGCCAGGTGGCCGCGGGGGCGGCTCCTTTCCGGCCGCGGGTTGCTTACCTGCTCCGGCGGGCTGTCCCTGGCTGGGCCGTTGCCTGCCTGCGCGGTGCTAGGCTTCCAGTCGCACGTGTATTCCCAGCCCTGGCTCGGCCACACCGATGCTGGGGGACATGCTGCGGTCCCCTGCAGCCGGGAGGCAGTTCTCTGCGCGATCAGGAACTGAGATTACTATGCCAAGAGCTGAGGCGGCGCTGGAGCGGGGCGGAGACCAGCAGCCCGGCGGCTCGGCGCCAAACCAGCGTGGAGGTGGAGTTCACGTGCTGGCAGATCCGCGCCAGCCCTGCGCGCCCCCGTGGCCAGGCCCCAGCTGCCGAGTCCGGGCTGCAGCTCCTTGCGAGCCGAGCTCCGCCCTAGCCGGCCCTCCGGGGCCCTAGCGCTGGAAGCTTAGTTCCCCGGGGAAGCTCAGAGGACTAGATGGCTGAGCTTCTGTTGTAGGTGGACAAGTGACAGATGGAAAGTTAAGAAGGAGATTAAGGAAGAGGACTGAGGACCCAGAGCCACTCAGCAGGAAGTCTGGCCCTTCCTTACTCCCTCCTACAATTAACTATACCCACTGTCTGGGTGTAGTGTAGTAGGTGGCTCCTTATAAAGCCACATGCAGTGATTTGAAAGCAAGCAGACCACAGGCGTCTAATGTGTGTGGTAAAATGGACAACATCTTAAGTATTTGGAATTGCCACTGCAAAACGTTTGGGTTCCTCCCCCTCATAGCTCCCTCCAAGTGTCTGGGTGGCTTTGGACACAGCCCGCTCTGATCTGCTGTGGCAACACTGAATGGGTAGTGTGCAGTCTAGTGGGCTGCTGTAGATGGTGCTAAATAACACCGCAAGAACTATTATAACTGAGTATTTGTTTGCACAACGTGCAGCTATAATTCTCACAAGTACTTATTAAGGGGGTGTTACTCCTTTTAGTACATCATGTTTTGAAACTTTGCTTGAGATTAGGGTAGTAAACAGCGGCTGGGGTTCCAATCCCTCAAAGAAATGGCCTTTCAGGTACTCAGGGCTTCCCCGGGGATCCTGTGGAGATGGTGACTATATAGCATGGTCCAAGGATCTGAGTTTTAAACAAAATCCCGGCTCAGGCCGAACAGTCTCAGTCATCAGGCCAGGGAATTGAAATATGTTTCTTTAATGTTGGTTTTAGACACTTCCTGGAGGTGGATTAAGAAGGATTTTCAGAAGTTATATCTTGGCTCTTGAGAAAAGCGGAAGGCAGTTCTCAAGTCTCCCTTTGGTTGAAGGAGGAAGGGAATGAAAATGTTGCAGTGACCCCAGGCCGCTCCTGAAATAGCTTTCTCACAAGAGCGGCTGGAGTGTGGTCTGGTCTTTCCAGGTTCTTCGCCTCACACTGATTTGTAAACAGAGCAAGATAACTTTGCTCAGAGGGAAGCGGCAGTGCAGAGTCCTAGAGGGCTACACTGTCAAGATGGATAGTACAGCAGACCACACGAGGGAGATTCTCAAAGCCTAATTATTGTTTGGACTTACTCTTGTACGTCCAACAGAAGGAAGATGTGGTTACTAAAGGGCATACTAAGGGTGGTTCCCTATTTTGATTGACAAATGGGTTGCATATTCCCTTTTTCTACACCCATCGCTTCCCATAGTTATTTAATCCCATAATTATTTCAACCATATACACACCCAGTTAATGCATAAGCAAAATCTCTTCTGAAATATAAGAAAGATACCTTCACAGGTCCCTAAGGTCTATTCTGCTTTCCCATTGCACAGAGCAAGTCCCACAGCTTCTGTTAAATTTCACTTAGACCTTCCTTGTGCTGATGTTTCAAACTATTGGGAAGTTCCTTCAACTTAAGCACTCCTGTGAAAATCATTCAAGAAATGGTATTAACAAATGAGTACTGGCAAGAAATACTTCCAAAGCCATGCAGAGGACATATAGGGGTTATGGTCAGGACAGGACGCAAAAGATTTAGACTGTTCTGGATAAGCTGGACATTGAGGTAATTCTTAAGTATCACCCTGATACAGCTGGAATCCCTTCTTTAGCAACACAGAAGTTCTCGCATTTCTGTCCTCAACAGCACACAGATGTAAGAGAAATGAAGCCATTACAAACTCAAACAAAAACCAAGTGTGGTGGTTCGAGTGTCATTGGCCCCTATAATCTCACAGGGACTGGTACTATTAGGAGGTATGGCTTTGTTGGAGTGGGTATGGCCTTACTGAAGCAAGTATGTCACTGTAGGGGAGGGCTTTGAGGTTCTCTATGCTCAAGATACCACCCAATGTCTCAGTTGACTTCCTGTTACCTGAAAGATGTAGGACTCTCCCCTACTTCTTCAGCACCATGCCTGCCTACCTTCATACTGCCATGCTCTCTGCCATGCTCTCTGCCATGATAATGGATTGAACCTCTGAAACCGTAAGCAAGCCACCCCAATTAAATGTTTACATTTATAAATGTTGCCAAGGTCATGGTGTCTCTTCACAGCAATGAAAACACTAAGACACCAAATATGATGCCTATCCTATAAGAAGAAGTTTTCATAATAATGATAAACCAAAACACCAGACAAAATAATAAGCATGATTGAATGCTCTTACACTCAAGACATTTATAGATAGGAGCTCATTTTTTTTTTTGTTTGTTTGTTTTTGGGTTTTGGTTTTTCAAGACAGGGTTTCTCTGTGTAGTTTTGGTGCCTGTCCTGGATCTCACACTGTAGACCAGGCTAGCCTCACAGAGATCAACTTGGCTCTGCCTCCAAAGTCCTGGGGTTAAAGGCATGTACCACAACTGTCCAGCTGGGTTTTTCTGAGGATGCAGAATTTATGAAAAATGGATCCTAAAAGATTTGGAGAGAAGAAACAAGAGTGACAGATGATGACTTGGCTTCCAGCTGGTGGCACTGCTTGGAGGGTTTGTTGATCCTTTGGAACACAGGCCCTTATGGGAAGGCCTTGAAGGTGACAGCTGGTCCCTGTTTTCAGTTGATCTCTGCTTCCTTCCTAACCCACCAAGCTTTGTTCAGGTTGCACTCCAAGCTGCTGTCACCCAAGGCTGAAATGTCCCAACTCCCATGCCTTCCCAGCCATGGGAGACTGCATCCTTTAAACTGTAAGCTAAATCAACCCCTCTTGAATTAAGCTACTGTGATCATGTGTACAAAGAAAGTCACTAATGCACGTTGCACAGCTGTGTGTTCCATGTCTGCCTTGTATGATGTAATGGCTTGTGTATGTTCTTACTGCTGTGTCTCTATCACATAAACACTGCCCAACACTAAAGGGCTCTGAAATTATTAGTTCAGTGAATCATTATCCTCAACTTACTAATTAGGAATCCAGATTCTGAAATATTCAAATGACCTTTGCAGTGTCCCACAGCTATTTATTGGCTTTATCATGACTGAAATTCAATGTCCAGCCCAATAACCTTTTTGATACCATATGTTTTTGAAGTGAAAATCACTAGTGATGTGCAGCGGTCACAATACATTTAAAATACGTAAGAATTTTGAAGTTCTTTTTTTCTTTCTAAATGCCATGTCTTTCGTTAGTTATATTCATTTTAGCTGTACTGACAGGAAGTACTGGCCATATATAAAAACATACAAATCACACCATGTAAACACACATTCATTACACATAAACATATATGCTTACAACATGTAAACACACACATGCATAACATGCACATCCACAAATACAGAAGCAAATAGGCAATTCATCACCGAGCAATGGCATCAGTGTTGTTTGCCAGACGATTCAGGGGTATGTTTCTACTCTCTGGATCTCTGTGGCTCTGTGGGCACAGCTTCTCTACCTTTTATATTCCTATGCTCCTCTTGTTACTGAGCTCTGGACAGAATTGTTTCCACGTGTATTAAATGGCTCAGTCTCTCCCAAAACTATAATTTACAAGTCATGCTCAAGACAAGAAGGGAGTCCTAGTAGAGAAGACAACTTCTGCTTTTTGTTCATAAAAGAAAATATTATTTTCTAGAACTGTCCTACATCCAAGTCATTTCCTAGAATTTGGTCATTAGATCTTTCATGAAGTCTGTGAAGGTACATGGAGGAATGGGTTTGTTTTGATCTCTTATTGTTTTAAAAGAAATGTTCCTTCCATTAATACTGGATAATGAAGGGGTGCTCA